TTGTATGTATTCGCTTGCCCACAACCGTAGCATAACACACGTCGTTTGGCCTCGCATTTTGATACACATGACCGCTTTTATTGCAATTCCAACATGTCAAGTTGACCGCTGAAATATCATTTTCGCTATCTGCTATTTCGCATTCTGGTTCGACATCTATTGCCTGAACTAACGACGAGGTGCCGGCCGTGGTTTTGTGCCCGGTGTACACTCTTGTGGTACCGCCAATACCAATCACTGTTTATACGTGGAAGGACTGGCATTGTATTTAAATATATTTCCGTAGTCTTATTGTGACTCGGGAATTTCTTAATCTAACTTTGTTGAGATAAAAATAATTGTTTTTCTAGCACTGACTAGAAACACTTCTAGCGACCAAATAACTTGTATTTTCATTAGCTGGCACGTCTGTTCGACTTTAAGGTGACTTCAGAAAAGAAGGTGGTCAGATATCGAATCTATTAAACCGCAGGCAGTTAGGCTTGCATTTTTTATTGGATTGAATATATGAGGCCACTGATGCCCTTTAATATATTCTAGAACGCTAGAGGGATACTGTTAGAGTAAATACAACCATGTAAGACTGAAATTAATACAAACATTACCTTTTATGTTAGCTTTATCAGGGTCTTTTCCTTAGTTTGTTTTATTTTATTTCTTTGGTGTCTTAAGTTTAATATAATAAAATATAATAAAACATGATCATACGCTTATTGATTCGATGGGGTGAATTCTACTAGTAAAAGGGTCGATCTACTACTAAAACTAAAACGAAGGGTTGACGAAAGTCATGACCTACTTTTAGGCATAGCGGAAATTCAAGTGACAAGCGCCATTACAGCCCTTTGGACTGACAAATGCACAATTTACTTTTCAAAAATTCATAAATAAAGTATATAAACTAAAGTAAAAATTTATCTAGACGATATAAAGATTGCAAACGAAGGTTATGATGAACATATGCTGATATTGGAAAATGTATTTAATCGACTGGTGGAAAATAAGCTAGAGTTAAGACTTAATAAATGTAGTTTCCTACAAAGCGAAGTTAAGTACTTGGGATATGTTATTTCAGAAGAAGACTTTCGTGGCGGGGAAAAAGGTATTGAAGCAATAAAAGATTTCCCAGTGCTACGTTAAGAACATGCCCTTCGAAATTTTCTGGGAATGTGCTCGCACTTTCGAAGGTTTATTAAAGATTTCTTAATTATATCAAAACCACTCCATGACTTAACAAAGGTTGACAAGAATTTTGATTAATTTGGCAATGAACAGCTACAAAGCATTTAATAAGTTTAAAAAAAATTCAAGTTACTGGAAACGCCGACGTTAGCTACATACAAGCCAAAGGATGAAACTGAACTGCATTGTGACAATGAAAGTGCGATAGTATTTGGGGCAATACTGTTACAACGGAAGAGCGATGGTTTGTTTAACCCCTTTTTTTATTTGTCAAATCGAACAACGGAAGCTAGAAACGTTAGCTGTTGTATGCGCATTAAAAAGATTCAGGATATACTTATAACGAATTTCATTCAAAATTGTGACGGATAAATACTCATTGCCGTTAACATTACATAAAATAGATCTTAACACCGAAAAGAATGTATGTTAGAAAATTGGTCAGTTACAAAGGGCGGAGTATGAATTCTTTAAGCAGATGTAATAATATACTAGTTATAAAGGAATACATTCAAAGATAAATTATGCTTTTTTCTAAAATAAAGCCGAAAAAATAAAGAAGATAAAAGGGTTTATTAGTTTACTAAGTAAACTGGAACATGTTTTATATAAGGTACGGAATGCTGTAGCATAAAACAATTAGGGAAATTTAACGGTTTGATGTTCCAAAATTGATGGAATATTATGTTCTTTTTAGATACCACAACAACATGGATACTGTTATGATCTGTCTTGATCCTTCACATTCCTTTTATCGATTTGCCGGCTAGACATAGATCAACCAGGGGTGAGCAAGACCTGTATAAATGGAAGAGTCAGTTAACAAAATAATTTATATTTAAAATCGGACTTACGAATTTAGGTTGCTTTTCGAGCACACAATCGGACAACCTGAAGACATGCATATGGTGAAAAGATGTTAAGGTCCACCCTTACGGAGCCCTCCCCACCATGCCAACTCCCTAAGCCTGACGTGCACCCGCCTTATACCCTCATCTCACACTCCATTAAATTCCTACTCGGTCATGTTATGTGTAACATACACAAATACATTAAAAAAAAAAAAAATTACACTTAATATTATTAACAACTTTCATAAAACATTTGTTGCAGGGCGAACGCGAAAACGGCTTGACGGAAATGATATAGACGACAAATAAATAAATTAAGTTTGATTCCAAATAATAAATTCAAGAAAAAAATATGTTTAAATCATCGCTTGCGCGTAGCCGTTACTTATAAATAATGCAACTAATTATATTTAGTATTAAATAGAAAAAATAATTAGAATAATAATATTATATTATATACTAGCGGGTATAACCCGGCCTTCCCGTGGCACGTATGTTATAAAATCAATGTTCTCAAAAAAATTTGAAATGATTTTGAAACTGATCGGACGGTAAACAAATAACTTTCATACAAACGTTTTCCGCCAATTTACCACTGTTGCGAGTGGAATTTCCCAAATCGCTGAAAGACGCATTCATTACATTCTTATGCAGCGCTTTGAAAATATGTTTGAAGCAAATCGGACACAATTTAAAACTTCGCACAAAAAATCTTTGAGTCGCATTCCACCCGAAAAAGTTTGGATTCTGCGAAAAGTGTGAAACACGTCTCAAATGATTTTTCTTATAGATCTCTGGAAATTAATTTGAGCGCGAAACGTCACCCACCAAATCTTTGACCTCCATTTCCACCAAGGAGGAACGTATTTTTCGAAAAGTGTAAAGCACCCCTCAAATGAATTTGAACAAAGATCTTTGAAAATAAGTTTGGGGCCGATCGGATGATAAACAAAAAACTTTCATACAACCGTTTTCCGCCAATTTACCACTGTTGCGGGTGGAATTTCCCAAATCGCTGAAATACGTATCTATTAAGTTCTTATGTAGAGCTTTGAAAATAAGTTTGAAGCAAATCGGACACAACTTAAAACTTCGCCCAAAAAATCTTTAAATCGCATTCCCCCCGAAGCAGTTTGAATTCTGCGAAAAGTGTGAAACACATATCAAATGATTTTTCTTATAGATCTCTGGAAATGAATTTGAGCGCGAAACGTCACCCACAAAATCTTTGACCTCCATTTCCACCAAGGAGGAATTGATTTTCCTAAAAGTTTGAAACACCCCTCAAATGAATTTGAACAAAGATCTTTGAAAATAAGCTTGGGGCCGATCGGATGGTAAACAGAAAACTTTCATACAACCGTTTTCCGCCAATTTACCACTGTTGCGGGTGGAATTTCCCAAATCGCTGAAATACGTATTCATTACATTCTTATGTAGAGCTTTGAAAATAAGTTTGAAGCAAATCGGACACAATTTAAAACTTCGCACAAAAAATCTTTGAGTCGCAATCCACCCGAAAAAGCTTGGATTCTCAAATGATTTTTCTTTTAGATCTCTGGAAATGAATTTGAGCGCGAAACGTCACCCACCAAATCTTTGACCTCCATTTCCACCAAGGAGGAACGTATTTTTCGAAAAGTGTGAAACACCCCTCAAATGAATTTGAACAAAGATCTTTGAAAATAAGTTTAAGGCCGATCGGATGGTAAACAAAAAAGTTACATACAAACGTTTTTCGCGATTTTGCCACACTTGCGGGTGGAATTTCCCGAAACCCCGTCTTAACGTGTACCTACATCACATAAGGTAGCTACAGTAAAAATTTCAGCTTCCTAGCTCTTACGGTTTGGGCTGTGCGTTGATCACCAATCAGTCAGTCAGTCAGTCAGTCAGTCAGTCAGTCAGTCAGTCAGTTAGTCAGGACAAACAGTTTTATATATAGAGATTGTATTATAGTATTTGTTTAATTGTTTAATTCTATGTAAAACCTGAGACCACCCAGAGGTGGCGGCCAATCCACTCCTCTGGTGACCTGATTTTCGCATGTCTTCTCTGCAGCACTTCCCGTATAGTGGCACTACGGTTTCGGCAAAAAATTAAATTTAATCGATTGTATATATTTTTATACCCTTGCAGAGGGTATTTTAATGATGTGAAATGTGAAATGTGTACCGCATAGAGGGAGACATCTCCGACCCCATAAAGTATATATTGTAAAGTTGTTTCTCATCCTGGGTAATAAACTCAGTCTTACCAAGTCCACTCTACAAGAAATTTTTTAGTGTGCCGAGGGATAGCTCCGCCACAGAGTGATTGATAATTTTAGTAAGGAGAGGGAGCCGCTGGGATCGCTCCGCCGCGTTTGGGTTATGGTAGGTCAGCGTGATGGGTGCTGCTGGGATCGCTCCGCCGCAGAACGAAAGGCCTAAAAACGCACAATCTCTATTCGGCATATACCGCCGAATCGTGATAGGAAGCAATATGTAAACACTGATGCACTTTATGTATAATCGTTGCTGTTTTATTTTGCTAAACTTCCCTGGCCCTGCTTCACCGTCAATTCTTGACTTCTATTCTTTAAACTCTTAGCTAACTCGCGGCCCCTCTAAGTCTCCTTTTTGTCGTTACGTTCATACGTCCGATACTCACTCTCGCTGATTCCAAAGTGAAGCTGCTGATCAGCTTCAGCAGCTCACGACCCTTTTTCGCCCTTTTTCGTTCTGCGGCGAATACTCTCTCTCTCTAACAGTTGCATGTGATTCGATTTCATTTGCAATTGGCCTCTCTTAACTTAATAAATGTTTGCTTAAATGATAATGCCCTTATCCTATGATTGTTTATATATTATAATTTTGCGAGTTTATTTTGACTCCGCGTCACACCCTCCCCCTTTCTTGACGGCGTGTGATCGTCACCTTGCGGCCATCGGTGATGGTCATCTTGAAAAATGCAAACTCGATCCCCTCAAATGGATCCTCCAGTTCCTCCCAGAACGGGTAAGGCTTGGTAGACGGGTCCCGCCTTATGTCCGGGATAACCCCTGCGATTGACGGTGTTCTCGGTATCAGTGGTCTTAGCTCGAGTAGCTGCTCCGCTCCCACTCCATCTCGAAACTATAATCTCGTTCCATTTTACCTGTGGAGATACCAATAGTTATAAATAATTTATTAAACTCCTCTACCATTCCGTTCTCTTCGGCCTGTCTATTGTTCTAATATGTTTCTATGGTGCAGCTTGCAACGACTTTTCTTATAAATAGTTAAACATATTGGTTATTACAAATTGTTCTGAGTCTATTGTTCGTCTGGCCGGTCGTCTCTCGGCCCTCTGCTCCCAGTGGGGTCTTCTTCGTGTGGTCCGTGGGAGATCTTTAGTTGGGTAATGTTAGCTACCCGCCTTTTCCATTCGCCATCGCGCGCCAAGCGCACGATATTGAGCAACACGAATTTCACGACCCAGTAGAGGCCGTCGAACTTCGGCGCTATCTTTGCCGCGAATCTGTCGGCGGTCTTTGACAGCTGATGCTGGTGCAGCCACACCTGCTCGTTCACTCTTAGCCGCCACTCTCTTCGACACAAGTTGTAGTGCCTCCCCTGGTCCTGGGAAGCACGCTGCAGGTTGTGACGGACGATGTCAAACACCTCCCTCAGACGCCCGGCCTTTTCCCCTGGCGTTTGCTGAACAGTGGCGGACCCAGGCGTAACATCGTCGTATAAGGCAGCGGGAAGACGAGGCTCGCGACCTTGCACCAAGAAGGCGGGCGAGAATCCGGTCGTGTCGGCCACGCTCGTGTTCACCGCTAACGCTATTTCGTGGAGCATCTCGTCCCACGGGCTCTGATGTTCTTCGATGAACTGGGCGATCATCGTCTTGACCGTCCGGTTCGTCCGCTCGGTGGGGTTTTCTTGAAGGCAATACGGCGCAGTGTATTGTACCTCTATGCCAATGGAAGTCAAGAAAGCCTTGAATGTCCGGCTTGTGAACTGCACTCCGATGTCGCATACAAACTTCCGAGGGACTCCGAATCGACAGAGTATCCGTTCTCAGAACGCCCTCTGTAAGTGTTCTGCCGGCGCCCTTCTCAAGGGGACTAGTTCCATCCACTTGCTAAACGCATCGTGAAATACCAGCAACATAGTGTTCCCGTGCTTCCCGGGCCCACGAAGTCGGCGCGTAGGATGAACAACGGTCCTGCCGGCCTCACCTGTTCCACTTTAAACTTTTGAAACACCTCGCAGCACTTCACATATCGTGCGGCATCCCGGAATATTCCTGGTCAATAATAACTCTGCGCTAGTCGAGATGTTGTCTTCCTCACCATTTGATGCCCGCCGTCGGGGCATTGTGACACTCCCGCAGGACTCTCTGCCTCTGATTGCCAGCGACGCACAATTTCCACGGTACGTAGTCCTCGTCGTCGGCTCTGAGTCCGAGGTGGCGGTAGATTTGGCCGTTCTCGACAACGTAGTCCGGGTACTCCTCTGTCTCCTTAGTGAGTTTTTCCAGCATGCATGCGGTCCATCCGCATGGCCTGACGGCATGCCTCTAATAGCTGTCGGGATACCACGTTCAACTTCAAAACTGGAACTGCTGTAAGTCTAAGGCCCATCGAGCGATCCTTCCAGATGGACTCTCTATTGAGTTGAGCCATTTGAGTGCTATGTGGTCGGTATTGACGTCGAACCTGTAACCCTCCAAATAGCACCTCAACTTGCGGATTGACCAAAATATATCCAGACATTCTTTCTCCGTGGCTGAATAGTTGATCTCCGCGTTCAGGAGCTTTCTACTGGCGTACGCAATGACTCGCTCCTCCTCGTCGATGGTTTGTGTAAGGACGGCGCCGAGGCCATGATCGCTAAGGTCCGTTTGCAGCACGAACTTCTTGCTGAAATCTGTCCTTGTGCTGTTCCAACGCATCCTGCTGCTCTACGCCCCACGACCATGCCTTCCCCTTTTTCAGGAGAGCGTTCATCGGCTGCACCACGTCGATACCGTGAGGCAATCCCCAGGCATTGCCGTAGCTGCTTGCAATTCGTTGAGGCCGTCGGCCTTTGAATCGCGAGCAGCTTTGAGGGATCCGTGCGGATTCCTCGGCTACTGAGCCGGTCGTCTACAACATTCCTGGCTGCTCACCCCTCTAGTACCGCATTGCGCACAAAAAACTACCTGATGGTTGGGACACTCCCTCCTAAAATGCCCCTCTTGCCCACACCGAAAACATATCGGGCGTCGCCTAGCTGTTCCTCCAGACTCTTGACCAATCATCCTGTTGTCGGCCTCTTCCCTTGGTACCGGTAGTGCCCCTGGGACTACTCCACCGAGAGCCATCCCGCCGACTGGCGATGAAGCTACCCTGAACCGGTTGCTTAGGCCAGTTGTTATCTGCGCTTGCCCATCGCCGAGATACGTGCTCATGCTACCCCCTAATCGAGATCGCGAACCAGGCGGGTACTGCAGACCCTGCTGTTTTACACCCTCGTACTCAACGGCTAACTGTATGAGCTTCGGCAGCGACGAGAAATCTTGTCTCCGCACATACAATTTGTACTCTGGGGCTGCGTTGTCATATATTCTAGTTAGTTATCTCTCAGGGCTATAGCCAGCATGGTGCATTAACGCCCTTTTGTCCACCACATACTGTTTGAATCCTTCCCCATCTCGTTGACGGCGAACCCGGATTTCGTCTTCCAACAATTCGAAGTATCGCGGGTGCAAAAAGAAATCTAAGAACTCATTCCATGACACATCTCTTAGCCCACTTGCCATGAACCAATGAGCGGCTTCGCCGATCATGACCTCGTTCATTTCCCTAGGAACCTAGGTAACCTATGTGTCGACATAGGACAGGGCCCGATCCTCGATGGCTTCCACGAAGGACAGTGGATCCGCCTGACCATCAAATCGTATACCCCACTTCCTGACTTGTTCAGGTACGATGCAGTGTCCCCTCAACTCCATTGCTAGGCGCGCCGGTGTTAATGGGACGCCCTCAGCAACACGAGGCGTCCCAGAATCCTTTATCCTATCGCATCGCAGGCTTTATAGCTCGGGATCATCGGAACCTCGAGTAAGGGTGTTCGACCGTGGACCCGCCCTAGCTCGCTCAGCCCGAACTCGCGAGTAATCGCCTCCAGCTCCTCCCTTTGTCGCAAGTGGATCCACCGTATGCCCATCCCTGGATTCTGACACTCACCCGTATCCATCCGTACGTCACCTCTTGATATCCTCGTTTCATTGCCTTCTTCTTGGGTTGCGCTTTTATTACCGTCGACTCGATTGCTCGCCTTGTTTTAATTACTTTATTTTGGATTTAATTTTAATTATTTTATTTTTAGTTATTTTATTTACAATTGTTTTATTTTGGTTTTAATTTTAATTATTTTATTTTTAGTAATTATATTTATAATTATTTTATTTTGATTTTTATTTTATTTATTTTATTTATAATAATTTTATTTTGATTTTAATTTATTCCGTTTTTAATTCTTTTAATGTTAATTTTGTTGTGCGACTAATTTTTGTGTTGTGTCGGTTGTCGGTGAAAATAATTAAAATTATAATAACTAAAAGCGAATTAAATTAAAATATTTTTAAATTTAATATTGCTACCGGCCTCACACTACGGTACATTTTGCTGCACCCGTCTACTCTTTGACCGTGGTACTATGTTCACGCTGGTAAGCCACTCTCACTTAGATATTAGTTAGTTATTGCCCTTAATTACTAAAACGTCTAGGTCCTTCTCTTTTTGTATTGCACGAGTGATCACAAAAAATATATTAAATAAACTTTCAACGTAATCGTCTGGTTGTTGCTCACTTTTGTATAAATATTCACCTTTTTTTTACAGTTTTATTTGTTTAATAAAAAAATTATTCGCCACAATAACCCCAGTGGAACTTTCGATGTTTTCCCTTTTTCCTTTGCCGCGGGCAGCTAACTCTGCCTTTTTAGCCCTAAGCTCTTTTTGGTAGCACTTTCATGGGCTTTTAGGCCACGTTAATGCCAAGCTTCTTCACACCTAGGGTCCCTGCTCGAGCGCCATTTGTAAAGTAGTTTCTCAGCCAGGATAATAAACTCAATCTTACCAAGTCCACTCTACAAGAAATTTGTAGTTTGCGGAGGGATAGCTCCGCCACAGAGTGATTGATAATTTTAGTAAGGAGAGGGAGCCGCTGGGATCGCTCCGCCGCGTTTGGGTTATGGTAGGTCAGCGTGATGGGTGCTGCTGGGATCGCTCCGCCGCAGAACGAAAGGCCTAAAAACGCACAATCTCTATTCGGCATATACCGCCGAATCGTGATAGGAAGCAATATGTAAACACTGATGCACTTTATGTATAATCGTTGCTGTTTTATTTTGCTAAACTTCCCTGGCCCTGCTTCACCGTCAATTCTTGACTTCTATTCTTTAAACTCTTAGCTAACTCGCGGCCCCTCTAAGTCTCCTTTTTGTCGTTACGTTCATACGTCCGATACTCACTCTCGCTGATTCCAAAGTGAAGCTGCTGATCAGCTTCAGCAGCTCACGACCCTTTTTCGCCCTTTTTCGTTCTGCGGCGAAAACTCTCTCTCTAACATTTGCTCTCTTCTACTCCTACTTTTAACGTCGTTAGGAGTCAGAGTTGCATTTGATTCGATTTCATTTGTAATCGGCCTCTCTTAACTTAATAAATGTTCTCTAAAATGATAAGTATTTTTATTTTCATGTTTCATTTTACTCCATTTGTTTGCCCTTGTCCTATAATTATTTATATATTATAATTTTGTGAGTTTATTGTGACTCCGCGTCACAATATATTCATGATCAGTAACAACAGCCGCGTCGATATAGCCATGTCCGTCTGTCTGTTTCTATGCGAACTAGTCTCTAAATTTTAAAGCTATCTTTATGAAACTTTGCAGAAGTCCCTCTTTCTGCCGCACGCAGTACATACCTCGGAACCAGATGGATCGGACCATTATAACATATAGCTGCCATAGGAACGATCTGTTGAAATGTAGGTTCTTGTATGAAAAACATTTTTGTTTATCAAGATATCTTGACCAAACTCGGCATTTTTTAGTTTTACCATGCTCCTCATATATGTGCAAAGTTCTATCAACGTCGGACCACTATATCATATAGCTACCATAGGAACGATCGATCAAAAATTAAGTTGTACGGAAAATTGTTTTGTTTTTCACGATATCTTGGCCAAACCGGCATTTATTAGATTTATTACGCTCCTCATATATAGGCAAAATCATATAGCTGCCATAGGAACGATTGGTCTAAAATTAAGTTGTTGTATGAAAATTATTTTGTTTTTTCAAGATATCTTGACCAAGCTCGGCATTTCTTAGTTTTACTATGCTGCCTACATTTATGCAAAATCTTATTTACATCGGCCTACTATCACTTACTATACAATGCATAGATATGTCAAACAGCACCCATTTTAGTGTGCCCAGATAGAGTAAGACTGCTGAGAGTGGCATCCGAACGCTGGCCTCAAAAGCCGAACGTTCAGTATGAAGCCGCATCTCGCTCAGCGCACGACGTCGCTGTGGCTGATAACTATTCTTAATATTTGTATGTAAGTTTTAAATCCGTACAGCCCCAAAACATATGTGTGTATGCATGTGCAGAGTTTGCCTCGCTCTCACTAATTGCTTTGCGCGCTTATGTGCATCTCTTTCTCCCTGCATAGCTTCTCAAAAGCCCCGAGATCTACAAACATACATACATATGTTTGTGTTGTGTGGATGTGCGCACAAGTAGATCAAGGCGTTTGTTGCGAGCCAGATATTTTCTTCAATTGTATGCCCTTTGTACCTGTGTTAGCAAAGACACACACATTCGAATGCTCTATCTTGTATTT